GGCCCTGGCTAGCGACGCACCACTCCTGCCCAACCACAGCGCGCACAGGCCCCGCGGTTCCTCCTGCCCCTCCCCAGGACCCCAAGGCCATTTTAACCTCGCCCTACCTGCAGGCGGCCATTCCTACCTAGGTGGGACCTGCACACACTCACATGGCCACGTTGGGAAAAGCAACACTTCTTTATTGAACGTACCTAGAGGTGTGGGGGGAGGGCAACAGGACGGGTCTGGGCCAGGCCTCAGGGTCGCGGGTCCCCCAGGACACCCCGCTCGGCGGCGGCGCTGCCTAGGATGAAGCCCACCGCCAGGGACACGGTCTGGTCGAAGGAGCCGCGCAGCTGCTCCACGTGCTGGTTCAGGGTCAGCAGCTGGTCGCGCAGGGGGCCCAGGACGGCCACGATGTCGTGCACTTACTTGCTTAACCTGCAGGGATCCTAAGTATGTTAAACATCACTCAGTTGACATTGTCTAATGAAGACTATTGGTGCCAACGGAATTCTGAAGAAAATCCAATACAAATCAATATTATTTTGGATGAGTACAAATTGTTAAATTGATCCAAATCTTTCTTTTTCATTTCAGAAGGCAATTTCCATGGAAGATATAATCCCATGGGTGTAATAAGAAGCAGAGATCTGGGTCATGGTGAATTGTGTCACTGACTGTGAACAGATTCTTTGGACGACTTTGCTTCATCTCTCACAGGCAGAGACTCCTGTCATTATTTGACCAGCCCCCAAATTTGCCATGCTTCTTCAGATGAATATATGTTCCAACTAGTATATATACTATAAAATATAGAGAAAATAGAAATTAAAAATGATGCGATAATAATACATAACTAGAATTTCCAATATCTTCTCCTTTATAATGGCTCTGCTGTGGACCTATCTGTGGTAGAGATAACCACTCAGGACCAGCCCCCACAGGTAAATATCAATAAGGTAAACGTTTCCCCCACAGGAAAAGATGAAGCAGTAGAAGGAGCTTTAACTCTAAAAAGATCTGGGGTTTTGAATCTTTGCTGCGCCCTCTCTGTGACTTTAGGTCAAGTTACAAAGTTCTCTTGGCCTGTTTCCTTGGGCTTAAAGAGTGTGGCTGATTGTTATGTCTAAAAGAGCTAACCCATATGAAGAGCCTGGCATAGAAACTGCCAATATGAATAGTCATTATATTATTTTTCCCTAAAATTGCTACATTCTCCTTACTGCAGCCTTGGGGCATCCTGTTGGAGAGCCCTGGGCCAGCTCACCGCTGGGGCAGCCCATTCCCTGCTCACTCACCGCTGGGAACGGAACGCTCCGCCCCCTCCCGGCTAAATCCAACTCCGTCTGTTTTTGCGCCTGGGTTTCTGGGCTTGCCTTCCGGGCCCCTAAGCCTCAAGTGCAGGGGGCAAGGCTCCGCCCCCACTCGATGGGGGACCTGCCGACCAACTGTGGGTGTAGAACTTTTTACAAATGTTAGATGGAGGTGCAAACTAACGCGACGTGCGTTATGCGCAAAGTTCAACTGTGTTTACGCGTGTGCTGTGCCCTCTCACCGCTGCGCGGAGCGGCTCTGGAACGTTCTAGCCGGAAGGCCCCCCCCCGCCCCCCCGCGCCCCCTCCTTGTTTGTTGCCTTTGGTGCGCCCCAGGGTGTTGTTTACAGATACCCGTCCAGGCGCTGGCTGTGGTGGTTTCATTACTTGCACAGAAGGTGGCGTTCCCTAAACGTGCAGGCAGTTTAGGGCTGGAACTTTCCCCACCAGAGCGGCTCTGGAACGTTCTAGCCGGAAGGCCCCCCCCCGCCCCCCCGCGCCCCCTCCTTGTTTGTTGCCTTTGGTGCGCCCCAGGGTGTTGTTTACAGATACCCGTCCAGGCGCTGGCTGTGGTGGTTTCATTACTTGCACAGAAGGTGGCGTTCCCTAAACGTGCAGGCAGTTTAGGGCTGGAACTTTCCCCACCAGAGCGGCTCTGGAACGTTCTAGCCGGAAGGCCCCCCCCCGCCCCCCCGCGCCCCCTCCTTGTTTGTTGCCTTTGGTGCGCCCCAGGGTGTTGTTTACAGATACCCGTCCAGGCGCTGGCTGTGCTCCCACCTTCTGGTGGTTTCATTACTTGCACAGAAGGTGGCGTTCACTAAACGTGCAGGCAGTTTAGGGCTGGAACTGATAACGCGCTCTGACCATGGGTCAGAATTAGTGTCATGATTCACACACACACACACTTCACGGAAAGAAACTTCTAGTCCACGTAGAGTTTTGAGCACTACTCTCCGAGATTAGGACGAAAACAAGGATGCCCAGCATCACCACTCGGTTCAACATTATCCTAGAAGTTTAACCAGAGCAGTAAGACAAGAAAAACGAGTAAGATGGACACAGATCGGAAAGGAAGAAGTAAAACCATCTTTATTTGCAGATTGTATGTCTATACGCGTACAATCTGCACAACGTAACCTACAAGCACATTATTAGAATTAATAAGTGAATTTAATAGCAAGGTCATTGAATGAGCAATGAACAAAAATCAATTTTATTTCTGTACACTGGCTACAATAGTTTTTACAGCTTTTTAGCTTGGGAAAACTTTAGATTTTCAGCCAGGTTGCAAACAGCACCGAGTCCCATGAATATCGCACGTGACCTTGCGACCTCTGTCAGAGCCAAGAAATGACATCGGTAAACCACAGGCTTTATTTGGGTCCTTCCAGGTTTTCCACTGATGCCCTCTTCTGTCCAGGGACCTGCGTTGTCCTAGTGCAGGGGTGGGCAGCCTTTTTGTGAGTGCGTGCCCAAACCAGCAAAATCTCTGACTCAAAATTCTTCTGCGTGCCAACCCTAATTTTTTGAGAACATGTGATGCCTACTTGGTATCTCTTAAGGTGTACATATGTGAAGAACCTTGAAGAAATAATAAAATTCATTTGCACAACAAAAACACAGTATATGATGAAGTGTATTTAGATTAAACCAAAACATTAGTCACGGATCTAGGGGCAGGGAGAGTTAAGGCAGAGGCATAGAAATTGCTCTTCCCCTCTCCCGTCAATCCATGTCTATGGTCTTTAAGATAACGTGTTATGTAAAATTATTTATTTATCTAAGATGCACCTACACTGAATTTATCTGAAAAATAAAGAAGTCGATACTAAGAAAAAAATTGTAACTGGAAGATTATAAGAGAGGGTTTCGCGTGCCAGCAAAAGTTACTGGCGTGCCATGTTTGGCATGCGTGCCAGGGGTTGCCCACCCCTGTCCTAGTGTCTCTTCAGTCTCCTCTGGCTGTGGCCTTGTGTCCATACCCTTGACAATTTGAGGACACTGGCTAGGTATTTTGCGGGATGTCCCTCAGTTTGGGTTTGTTTGGTGTCTTGTGGTGAGACCGGGGCCTATGGGTTTCTGGGAAGAAGACACCGCGAGGTTCCTGCCCCTTCCTCATCACACCAGGTGTGTTATCTTGGCAGCACTGTGATGCTCACCTGATTTCCCTTCAGGTGGTGCCTCTGTCCCCCTCCCCATTTCTGCCCCGCAGTGGGGGCCAGTCACCAAGCCCGCCCCTACACGGGGGCATTTGCAGGTACTGGTAGGGGTTCTTCTGTAACTCTCCCCCTTTTTATTCATTCACCATCAGCTGATGTCAGTGTGGACTCGCAGACGTTTCTCGCTCCTGGGCTGCAGCCTGGCCCTGGTGTGGAGGTGCTCAGATGGCACAGCTTTGGCCATGGGGAGTTCTTCGCAGCTCTTTCCTTTTCCCCTCTTGTCCTCTGACCTTTGACATGTTCTGCCCTCCCTCCCCCCCTTTTTTAGCACTTGCTTGCTTCTGACACTACAGTGTGCTCCTGTCCAGCTGGAACTTTCCCCACCAGTCAGCTATTCAGCTGTTTCTCCAAAAAATTAGTATTTTTTTGTTTTGTTTTGAGAATGGGATCTGGAAGCCAAGATATGGATACAGGGTTGTCACTGCTTCTAAGCCAGTGGTTCTCTATCCCCAGGGGACAGCTGGTGATGTCTGGAGATATTGTTGGTTGTCACAACTTGAGGGGTGCTGCTGGCATGTAGTGAGTGGGTAGAGACGGGAGATGCTCTAACACCTCCCACAATGCACTGGGCAGCCCCACAGCAAAGACTGATCCCCCCTAAGGTCGGGAGCCAGTGGCTGAGAAGCCCCACCGCGGCCGAGGAATGTACACTCGCCTGTGTCCACGCATCCGGGTAGTGTTTCGGGGCCCGACCCCCTTGTCCCCACACTGCAGGGTGTGTCCTCACCTCCCCACCCGCTTTCCTGTAGCTTCTTTCTCTGATAGGGCGGCTGGACTCCCTTGTCTACAGCTCGCTAATGGCCAGCCCTCATGCGCGTGGAGAGTAGCTTCAGAATTGCTGAGCTCGGTCCACCGTAAAACGTGACTGTTTTGTTGTCTTTTATAAAACTTCACTTCTCCAGACTTGCCTGCCAGGCAGAGGGCTTTACCACTCATACAGGCACTTTACGCCCCCAACTCTCAGCTCTTGGCCTTCCACCCCTCCCTCTGTGGTGTCCACCAATCCCAAACCCATCCATGAGGACCCTGCCCAGCCAGGTCCTGGCGAGGCAGTGCCCGGGAGTGATCCACCGCTCCTGCCCGCAGGCTGTGGTGAGGTCTGGGTACTGAGGTCTGGGTGCCCGAGTGCGCGTGGGCTTGCCAGGCGGAGCGGCTGGGGCTGGGCAGTTCGTGGCAGAGCAGCCTTGGGTGGTAGTGCTGGGAGACTTGGGGACTCAGCTATTTGGGTGGTTTGCAGTCCTCCCCGCAGGATGCGTTTGCTGATCACAGGCCGGCGCATTCTGGTGGGGCCCTTGTGCGAAAGGGGTTGGCTGACCTGCCCTTCCCCGCGCCACCCGAGGACTTGGCTGTGGCCCGAGCACCCCTGGATCCTCACACCTTCGTGAGCACCCTGATTGTCTCTGTCTGGTCACGAAGGAGCCCCCACGCTGACCACAGAGCAGGTGTCACTTTAGGGAGAAACCAACTGAGCCACAGGGAAGCGTCCTGGTAGAAATGACTTTATTTAGAAACCTGTGCTACAGGACAGGAGGGCGCCATGCAGACATCGAGCTTAAGCCAAAAGCCCCGTCAGTTCCCCTGAATAAGTCGTTAAGATTGGAATGTTTATTTGTGCTGGACACTAATTTTGCTTCAGGCTTTGTGACACTATCTTGTTAAATTCAAAATCTGAAAATGTCAGAGTTGATTGGCAGAACACAATCCTCATATAAAAGCTTAAAAAAAATAAAGCCACGTTGGCATGGCCAGGAGAGCCGAGCCCCCTTACGCCATGTAAGCAGGACCTGGAATGAATGTATGTGGGAAAACACATCTTGATGTTGAGAAGAGCAGCGTTTTATCACTAGTAACAGTGTTCCTAGAAATACAGCTGGTTGCTCGAAAGAATCACTAATCCTAAAACTCAGAAGAGCAGTCGTGGGTCTTGCAATGATTTGAGTGGAAGAACGGGGGATGGTGCCAGGGGCTCTGGCCTCCCACGCCGGGGAAGAGGCCCCGTGGTGGGTGTGACAGCAGGCCCCCTCCCAGGGTGTCCCCCACCCACTGAGCTGTGCTCGGCACCAGCCACGGGGGAGGAGCCCTGGAGAAGAGCTTGGCGCCATTTAGGCAGCAAACTTCATTTCCTGGTTGGTTCCGATGAAGCGCTGGTGACGGCAAGCGGCGGGAGCCCAGGCTGGGTGTGTGCGTGGCATGCATGGCTGCTGGAGCAGGTGGGCAGCAGCCACAGCCCAAGGGCCCCTTGACCCCCAGAAGGGCTAGGGACCTCTCAGGGTCCCCGAAGCTGCCTCTGCTTTGGAGCTGTTGTGTCCTGTGTGCTTTGCTAGGAAGCAGAACCTTGGCCAGGGCGCACCTGTCCCACCAGAAGCTGCTCTAAGTGGGGGCAGTGGGCACGTGGGGCCAGAGGGTACTTGGAGGGGCTGCAAGTGTGGAGCTGGGAGGCGCTTGCCAGCAACAGGAGGCTCAGTTGGAATGGGTGGCAGGAAGGGCTGCAGGGCTCTGGGACCCCCACTTGGCTGGGACAGGGTGAGCCAGGGGAAGTCTGGGTGGGGGAAGGTCTGGGGGGAGGGAGTGTGAACCAGGTTGGGGCTTGGGCTACTGGGAAGCCTCAGGACCCCCGTGGAAGGGTTCAGAACCCCTTGGAACTTATGGTGGGTGTGGGGGTCAGAGGTCAGCCTTGGTCCTTTGTTGCTGGGCACATGGAGGCCAGGCCCATGAAAACACTGCTCATTGGGCAACTCAGTTAAAATCAGAGGCTGGGAGGTGGGGTGGGTTTGGGGGTAGGTTGGATCCCTGGAGAAGTGGGGAGGGCCATTTCTCTCTGAAAGCTGCACCCCTCCTCCTACTGAAATGGCAGATTCCTTCCCTAACTCCTTCTCCCAGGGGCTCCAGGAAAGAGCCGGGCGTTTACTTTGTCTATTTTCATTTAAAATGTTAAGATTTCATGTTTAAATTTTCTAGCAGAAACCCCCTGACTTGCACTGGTGCCTGTCCCCTCTGAATCGTGGTCTGAGCCCCTTGCTCTCCTGTTCTGGTGCCCACAGGCCCACGCTGGGCCTGCGTTGGGGGTCCCTAGTCTAAGGTGGCAGGGGCTGCGCCCGCGGGGCCATTGGCCTGGAGCAGCGAGCGGGCGGGCTCCTTTCTCCCCAGCTCCGTCCTTGGTGTGGAATCCGACGTCCACCCCCCATCCTCCGTCACTGGAATGTGGCTTTCATCTTCCGTAGCTTGTCCTGGATCTTCCGAGAGTGCTTTTCGCTGGCGATCTGGTGGTAGCTGGCCCGGCTGTCTGCGGCTAAGATGGACACGTCAGCCCCGCTGCACCGCGCGATTCTTTGCTTGAGGCAGGCCTGCAGCTTGGCGTCGGGGGCGAAGGTGTAGGGGTTCTCCTGGAACGCGTGCACCTGGCTGGCCACCTTGGCTATGTTTCTGTGTTGGGGAAGGAACGAGATGTCAGACTGCACGAGTCTCAGGGGCTCGTGAATTCCCGACGCGCTCCCAACGGCTGGAACCGAAGCTCTTCAAAGCACAGACTTTGCCTTGTCTGGACCAACGAGGCCAGACCTCAGGCCTGTGGTCTGTCCATCCATCCATCCGTCCCTCCACCTGCTTTGCATTTCACACATATTTACTGAAAATCTATGTCGCCCTGGTCGGTGCTAAGGATTCCAACATGAATGAAACCCACTGTCGCCGTTGGGCGGACGGAGGAGGCGGGTACGGTAGATGTGGGTTGTTTAAGGGGTGCTGTTAGCGGTGTCTGGGTGCACGTCTCCCAGCACCGGGTTCAGTGGCAGAGGATGGCAGCATGGGACATGGGGCATGAAGTTTAGAGCAGGAGGTGGCTGCAGGTCACAGGGTAGGGGATGCCCTGGGTAAGGGTTGAGTGAGGATTAGGGGGACCAGCCCTCAGAGGAGCAGGAGGGATGAGGGAGGCTCTCACCTAAGCTTGCGGCACCCCAAGGCCCCTCACCTGAGCTTGCTCCATCTGTGGGCCCCATTGGTCATGGTGAAGCCCCCAGTCTCCAGCTGCTGGATGTGCATGGCCAGGAGGCGGGCTGAGGGCAGGGTGGGCTGGGCCCGGAAGCGGCGCCCTTCCATCAGACACAGGCTGTCGCTCTTCAGGAACACCTGGTGGCCCAGCCAGGGGTGTGGGCGAGGGAGACAGGCCAGAGGTCAGTCCTGGGCGGTCAGCCAGTCCTGGCTCAGCCCAGGCCATCCCGGTTGGCGCCCATAGTCCCACAGCCTTTGGACTTACAAGCCGTCCAAACGCACCTTGGATTATTGGATTGGGGATCGAAAGTCCAGTGTCTTCAGCTTGGACACCACAAAGGCCACACTGACCCCCTCAGAAAGCTGCACCTCCCCCCCTACTACTGAAATGGCAGATTCCTTCCCTAACTCATTCTCCCAGGGGCTCCAGGAAAGAGCCAGTGACCCAACTCCCCAGATATTAGTAAGACCAAAGCCGGCTGCAGAGGCCATGTCTGGTGTTAACTGAGGACACACAGCCCGCCTGCCCGCAGAGAGCTGTGTCTGGGCTGGGCCTGCTCCTGGCAGTTGGGGAAAATACCCATTGTTCCAAACTGTTTCCTCCCTCACGGTCTCCCTTTGTCAGCCAGTGAGGAGGCGGCCAGTCAGCCAAGCTCAGGTCCTCTGGCACCTGTACCCTGTGCCGCTGGCCCAGCAGGGGGGCTTCTGGAGCCCCTGCGCTCCCAGCCGGCTTTGCCCGGTGAGTGGCATTGGTCCCGTGGGGAGATGGGCAAGGCCGGGCTGCTCCGTGCACGACTCTGAGGGGCCATGTGCTCTGGGGCCCTGATGCTGGCTCCGAGGGGTGCCACCCCCCAGCTGTGCTGGTCGCATCCCCAGGCAGACACAGTGGCCTGAAGCTCACGCAGAGCAGGAGTACCTCCACGGCTTTCAGCTCCTCCATGACCTCTGCTATCTTCGCAGGTAAGATCCTCCAGGCCTAGAATGAGAGCACAGGTGAGACCCTGCGGCGGGCTGGCGCCCCCAGCCCTCAGCACACACGGCCGAGGTCAGCAGCGTCCGGCCGCAGCCCTCGTGGGCTCACCGGGCACTGTCTCACGGCGAGGTGCTCCAGGCCCCCCAGGATCTGCATGGCGGTCGCAAAGTTCCTCTGC